GTTTTCCTTGACCAGGTTAGGGAAGTTTTCTGCAATTATTTCTTCAAAAGGGTTCTCTATCCTTTGCTCACTTTTCTTCTCCTTCTGGCATTTCTACAATGCAAATATTGTTACATTTCATGTTGTTCCACAGCTCCCTTAAACTCTCCTGTTTTAAAATTTTTTTTAATTTTTATTTTTGGTTCTCTCAGTGATTTTTTTTCTATCCTGTCTTCTAATTCAATGATCTGATCCTTGGCTTCGTCTAACCTGTTGTTTATTCCTTCCTGTATATTCTTTATTTCTGCTATGTCATTCTTCATTTCAATTGGTCGTTTTTCATAGTTTTAATATTTTTTTTCATGCTGTTGAGCACCCTTATAATCATTACTCTGAACTGTATATCTGAGAAATTGCTCATCTCCATTTCATTAGCTCTTCTTTTATAGAATTCTCTTATTCTTTTATTTGGAGCCTGTTTTTTGTTTCCCCATTTTGGCTGCCTGTTTGGGTTTGTTTCTATGTGTTAGGTAGATCTACTATGTCTCCCAGTCTTGGTAGGGTGGCCTTATGTAGTGGGTGACCTGTGGGATCCAGTGGTGCAGTCTCCCTGATCACAAGACCTGGGTGCTCTAATAATTTCCCTGGCGTGTGCTGTGTGGGCTCTCTTGTAATTGAATCTTGATTGCTATTGGCTTGTTCGTGCGTGGACTTGACTCTCAGGCTGGTTGACAGTGAGGCTCAACCCCCAATAGAGCATGGAGGCTGCTGTGCAGGTGCTTATCACATGAAGCAGAATTTTCCTCTGCATGGTTGGAGTCTGCCAATATCTCCCTGTAGATATACTGCTTTTAAAGCTTATTGGATCCTACTCTGTTGTTGTCTGAAGCTGGCCACTGGGTTTATTAATTTTGGGCCTCTTTGGAGGCCCATGTCAGACATGGTGGCCAATCTCAGATATTGTTTGTGACTGGCCCTGAGTACCCTGTTCGGAGCTATCAGCAATCCACAGCTTGTGGCTCCCCCTGCTGGAGCTGGATGTGTGTGGCAAGGACCAAGCTGCACACCAAGGTCTGCTTTTCCCAGCCCAGGGCCCCAGAAGCAGGTTAAGCAAAGACTCAAAGCACCTAGAGATCTGCCTCTGCCTGCTGGCTGATTGTTAGTCGCTGTCACATAATGACCCTCAACTGTAGAGCTTAACTGGGCATAAACTCCACAATGTGGGGTGAGAGGGTTTCCCATGGGGGGGGCAATTTCTTCCCCCAAGGCTAAAGCTGCGTTGATAGAGAAGTTCTGCCTGAGGAAAATGGCTTCTGCAGCATGAGGGAATGACTCAGCACAGGGATCCTAGCTGCTGTCCTCTTACCCGTCTCCCCAGAGCCACCAACCCCAGACTCTCCTCTCGCAGCTCTATCTACTCTGCTCTCCCACTGCTGGAGCAACTGAGATATCTTTCCAGAACTTCAGCTGCTGCCTATGGGTACCCAGCCAGCCCTCTCGCACTGCACACTTTCTACCAGTCTTTATGGGGTCTCCTCTTTACCAAGTCTTTGTTTTCTTTCTCTTTTTTTAATTCTCATCTGAAAATATTTTTTTCATTGCTTTTCAGAGAGAGTGGGTGGGAGGGAGAGAAAGAAACATCGATGTGAGAGAGACACATTGCACATCGATTGGTTGCCTCCCACATGTGCCCCAACAGGGGCCAAGCCTGCAACCGAGGTCCGTGCCCTTGGCTGCAGTCGAACCCAGGAGCCTTCAGTGTGCAGGCTGACACTCTAACCATTGAGCCAAACCAGCTAAGGCAAGGCTCTTGTTTTCTTAACAAATATCTTCCCACTTACAGTTATTTCTATTTCTCGTAATAATTGGTAGAGTGTGTCACATACAGTAAATGTCTGAGATTGTAGCACACTTTGCAGTCTATAAAGGGATTTTAATTTGTGCACACATCACTCCTGAGAGAAAACCAATCAGGAAATAACATGTCCATTTTATAAATTAAGAAACTGAGACTCCCAGAGATTATGTGGCTTGCCTAAGTTTCACAAGAGTGGGTGGCATTCTGGTATTCATACCCAGGCCCACCTTACCCCCAGCCTGAATGCTGCATCAGGCTGCCTCTATAGAGCAGAATGGGACAGAATATTCCATTTTAGATAGAGTTGTCAGATAAAATACAAGATGATCAGTTACATTTGAAATTCAGATAAACAAAAAAACATGTTCCATGTTGCACGCACACACTTAGAGAAAAAACTTGTTATTTACTGAAATTCAAGCGTAAATGAACATCTTGTATTTTTTTTTAAATACTTACCTAGGATACTTTTCCACTGCTTTTCAGAGAGAGTGGAAGGGAGGGAGAGGGAGAGGAAGAGGGAGAGGGAAGGAGGGAGAGAGAGACAGAGAAAGAGAGAAACATCAATGTGAGAGACACACATTGCACATCGGCTCACCACCTCCCGCAATGGTCCCGACGTGGGCTGAGCCTGCAGCTGAGGTACGTGCCCTTGGCCGGAATCAAACCTGGGACCCTTCAGTCTGGGGGCTGACGTTGTAACCACTGAGCCAAACTAGCCAGGGCAACATCTTGTATTTTTATTTGCTAAATCTGGTAACCCTAATTTGGGGGAGACTTTTGGTGTCTTCCCTAAGATCACATAGAGAATTACCCAAGATCATATGGAGAGTTAGTGGCAAACCCAGGACTGAATCCCACGTAGTGGTTGTGAAGCGCTCTGAAGCCCCTGGAGCAGGGGGTGGTGGGAACAGCAGTGCTCTCTCTGCAAAGGCTGCCTGCGTGCCCTCATCCCCTCCCAAGCTGCCCTGTTGGGCAAAGCCATGAAGTAAATCTCAGTGCAGAGGAGATGAGAAGAGCGAGGTTACACCAGTTTTGAGAAGATGCGGTTAATATAGATTTTCAAGCAGGGAGCACAGGCTCCTCAGGAAGCAGCTAATTAAGCAGAGAACTCCAATCAAGAAGCAATTTGAGTGTCTGCAACAAACCCCAGCAGCAGCAGCCCAATGCAGCAGAGAGAACCACAGGCAAAGGTTTGTGTCTCCTGCACCAGCTCACTGTGAGACCTCAAACAAGGCATTTAACCTCCCTGGGCTTCTGTTTTCTGGGCTCTGAAATGAGGTGGTTATGCTAGCTGATATTTAAAGGCCCTGTTGGACCAAAAACGGGCTTTTCCAACTGAGTGGGAGGATTCTCTCTCTTAACACTGAACATTTTTTTCACAGTGTTCTGTTGTTTTGTTGCCCTTTCTCCACCTCATCTAAAGCCAATGTTACCTCATCTGTAGTGGACTGGGATTCTAGTGCACACGCTCAGGTGTGCAAAAATTGTACCTTCCTTGACTCTTCATACCCCAACTTAATTTCTTTTTCCAGATCCCGTTCCCTAGGGTGGCAATTCAAAGCTTCCCCTCTTCCTATCCCCAGGCTGCACCTACACTCCAAGAGGATTAAATGTGGTGCCAAGTCATGTGTTGGGGGCAGGTCAGCAGCCTCTCCTGAGATATCATTGTGGTCCTGCTGTTTGCCATGAAATCATGTTCTCATCTGGTGAGGGTGCAGCATGTAGGCTGATTACAACAATGGCCCACGTTTTCTTGCTTCCCGATATTTACACCCTTTGGTAGTACAGCACTGGCTACAGGATTTACTGTGTGGCTTTCTTTGGCAAATGGAATAGAGGGAGAGTTAATACAAGCAGAAGCTTGATCATTGTGAATTTGTCTCTTGGAATCCTGTCACTGCCATGAGAACACACCTGGGCTAGCTGGTTGGATGATGTAAGAAATACACTTAGAAGGCTAGTGGTGGACTGACTCAAAATGCCGAGCCATTCCAGCCACAGCATCCTAGCTGACCCCAGCCAAGATCAGCAAAGCTCCACCCAGAATAGCAGAACCATCCAACTAACCTGTGGACTCACAAGAAATAGTAAATGTTTGTTGTTTTAACCCTTTAACTTTTGGGGTGATTTGTTATGCAGCAATAGGTAACTGATACGTGGCTTTTCCTAGAATTCTGTGCCGCCCAGGAAATGAGCCCTTCTTTCTAAACCCACCTGGATTGTGATATTTTATGTCGTGCATAGGAGCAGCTCTCCTATCAGGTAAAGAACTTTATAATCCAAGGCACAGGGGGTCCCACCATGTAGTGATGACCAAGGTCCTCTCATGAGGTTCTGGGGAGTATAAATAGGTTCAGTATTTGTAGAATTTAATTTAATAATGTATACCAAGGACCTTTAAATTGTTCACACCCTTGGTTCAATTTAGTTAAGGAAGTAATGTGCATTCAGGAGGGGGAAAAACAAAGAGTTTAATTATAGTGTTAGTTATACTAGCAAAAAATTATAAAACATCTAAGTGTACAGCAATGTACTACATACAGTTCATGATATATATAGCTATTTAAAACAAGGTTTAAAAAATTAATTAACATGGGGAACTCTTGTGCTACGTACACTGTTAGCTAAAAAAGCAGGTTATAAAATTATATAGGATACAAGCTCACATATTAAAAAATAGTGGGAATGGTAACAGTGGTTGAATTTAGGTGGTAGAATATTATGGTGAATTTTATTTCATTTATATATGTTTCTGGATTTTCCATATTTTGCACAATGAGCACATAACATTCTTTTGATCTGAAAAAAACTTCTTATTTTTATTTATCAGCCTGGGTACAGCCAAGAAAACACAAACTACTCGGATGGAATTCAATACAGAGACTTGGTTACTCAGGTGATGTGGAGGAGCTGGGGAGTAAAACAAGTGACAGTAAGGGAGCCTGTGTATTGGCCCAGCAGGGAGCCACTGTCACTCCTGTGACAGAGAAGCTTAAGTGCTTGCTGCTCCTCAGGAACTGGGGTGTCTGGCAGAAGCTAGAACCATGGAAGGGAATTTCGTGGTAGGAGCAGGACCACAGGGTTCCTGGGGGACGAGAGGGAGCTGAAGCGAGGGAGGAAAACCCCCTCCTGCTGCCAGAGATGTCACAGGGAGCAGAGAGAAAGAGACGCACGCGGCTCCTCCTTTCTTCCCGCCCCTCCGTGTCCCAGCACCGTGGGCTGGCCGTTGGCTGAATGTGCAGCCCGAGGGCAGGAGAAGGATGGAGATGGACGTGAGCAGGCCATGGCGCCAATGGGCGTTACGGAGCGTTTTCAGTGTTTATCTGTACACTTCAGTTCCACTTAGTTTTGCTCATTTAAGATAGATATATAATTCTCTGATGTCCCAGAGGCATCATGGACCGTGTTTCCCTTAACTGCGAAGCACTTCATTCGTTGGCTTAACTGCTTCCCTATTGTTTCATGTGTGGCACCTTCTCCTGTTACGGCTTCTACAAACAAAACTGAAGGTAGCACCTTTATATACAGTTATTTTAATTTTCTTTTAAATTATGTTTTTCAGCTCAAATCTCCCAGGATAGATCAGTGTATATCAGCAATTTAAGTATATATTTATAGGGAAGAAACTTCAGTGCAGTAGAAAGAGCCCTGCTTGCTGTTGGAGAGTACTCCTAAGCTTCATTTGCCTTACCTGTGAAGAGAGCGTCACTCCTGGGCTGCCTTCCCACCAGCCGCTGGGAAGATCAAGGTAATCGCTGCTGCCCAAATGATGCGCAACTGTGTGAATGGGATGCTGGCAACATTGATGATGCTATTGAGGGAGATGATAAAACTTGACAATTGTTGAATGAATGTCCCTAACAAGAGGACTAGTGGACATTACCACTGGTACTGGGAAAGGGCCAACTCCCACCACAGCTTCACCAGCCCTGTGAACCAATAATCTGAAGAGAATCGTGTGTAGGCCCTACCCTGTTCAAGTGTGAGGATCTCAACAATTTCCCTGAAGCCCACATACTTCTTGGGCATGCAGAGTATGTTTTAATAACAAAAACTCAGACACTAAAATGGATGAATGACCTAAATATAAGACCTAAAACTATAAAAGTTGCCCTGGCTCAGTTGGTTGAGCACCGTTCTGTGCACTGAAAGGTCACCAGTTCAATTCCTGGTCAAGGCACATGCCCAGGTTTCAGTCTAGATCCCTCGTGGGGGGCATGCAAAAGGCAGCCAATCGATGCTTCTCTCTCACATAGATGTTTCTCTCTCTCTCTCTCTCTCTCCCTCTCCCTGTCTCCCTCTTCCTCTCTCTCTAAATCAATCAAAACATTTTTAAGAAAAAATCCCTATAAAATTCTTAGAAGAAAACATAAGGAGAAAGCTTCATGACACTGGATTTGATGATAATTTTTTTTTTTATATGGCACCAAGTGCACAGGCAACAAATGCAAAAATAGATAAATGAGATCATATAAAACTTAAAAATCTTGGTACGTCAAAGGACACAATCAGCAGAGTAATAAGGCAACATATGAAATGGGAGAAAATATTTTCAAATTATATATCTTATAAAGGGCTAATATCTAGAATATATAAAGAATTCCCACAACACAACAGCAGCACAAATAACTTAATTAAAAATGGGCAAAGGACTTGATTGATATGTCTCCAAAGAAGGTATACAAATGGCCAACACGTATATTAAAAGACGCTCAACATTATTAATCATTAGAGAAATGCAAATCAAAACCACAATGAGATACCACCTCATACCCCTTAGGTTGGCCACTATCAAAAAACAAAAAACAAACACCCAAAACAGCAAATAATAAGTGTTGGTGAGAATATGGAGAAATTGGAATCATGGTGCACTGTCATTGGAAATGTAAAATGGTGCAGCCACTATGACGATTCCTCAAAAAATTAAAAATAGAATTACCATGGGATCCCGCAATCTCCCTTCTGGGCATATATCCAAAAGACTTTAGAGAGCATTTCAAAGAGGTATTTGCACACCCATGTTCCTAGCAGCACTATTCACCACAGCCAAGAGGCAGAAGTAGTTTCCATCAATGGATAAATGAGTGAAGAAAACAGGTCCATCCATACAATGGATTATTCATCCTTAGAAAAGAAGGCAGTCCTGTCACACACTAAACATGGACGAACCGCGAGAGTATTATGCCAGGTGAAATAAGTCAGCCACAGTAGGACAAATACTGTGAGACTGCACTTACGCGAGGTCCCTAGAGGAGTCAGATTCATAAAGACAGGAAATAGAACGGTGGCTGCCGGGGCTGGGCGGAGGAATGTGGAATTGCCATTAGGTTTGCAGATGGAAAGGCCTGGAGGCCTCTTTTATGACAGTGAATATTCCTGTCACTACTGAGCTGTAAACTTCAAAATGGTTAATATGGCAGATTTTATGTTATTTTTTAACCAACATTAATGGAATAACCAAGACACTGATGGCCAAATCTTGTTAAATCTTAGAGCACTGCCTCTACTCTGCCAGGTTTGCAGAGTCATTCCTGCTTGTTTATTGCATCTGCAGTGTCAAGAACACGGGCGGTTCTTTCACAAAGCCTCGACGGTGTGTGGTGTCAGTAAGAATGACCTTTACTTCCTCATGGCTTAAAACAAGGGTATATTTTCTTCATGCAGCTAGAGGTGGGTGGTTGGTGGTTTATTTAGGTCAGCAAATCTCTTTTCAAATTCCTTTTCCTCAGTGTACAGAGACTTCGGCTTAGGCCTCCTTGGCCATAACTGTGTGGAGTGGAGGCTGGGAAAACAAGGGTGTCACCTAGGCAAGACACATTGCTGCCCTGGACAAAGGTGGGGTGCCGTAAGCCAGGGATAGCAAAGCTGCTTGGTAGGGCCAGAACCGCCAGGCAGGCTCAGCTCAGATTTCACCTCCTCAGAGTCACACATCTATTGTCTGTCTCTTCCGATAGGAGGTAAGCTCTTGTTCACCCCTGTATCCACACTGCCTAGAACAGGACTGGCACATAATAGATGTTCAATAGGCATTTACTGGCTGAAAATAAGGTTAGCGTGGCCTAAATTTTTTAAATGGGCTTTTTTTTTTCTTTCAAGCTGAGAAAATGATAATCACATTCTTCTGGAAAAATACAGATGTGAAGAAAGCTAAAATAATTCTGAAAAAGGTTAATGACAAAGCCAATCCTATCTTTTCTATTTGGTAGAAAAGAAATAGCTAGATAAGCCAACAGAGTGCTACAGCATGGTAGTTCTTGGCTTCATATTAGAAGCATCTAATGTTCTTCTAAAAAACAAATAAAGCAACACTTGGGCCCTACCCCCAGAGACCCTGATCCAACAGTGGGGGCCCTGGATGTCGGTGTTTTCTTAAATGCCTGAGATGGTCCTGAGGTGCAGCCAGAACTGAGAAGCACTGTGCCGGCGATCCTGAGGCAGGCTTGACTGCACAGGAACGTGTAATTTATGGTAAAGTGGCACATCACAGTGGTGGCGACACGAAGGGTCTTCAGGTGAAGACGTCGAGATCATTATTTGACTAAATAAAGAGCACCGGACCTTTACTCCTGGCATAAACCCCACGTGGGTCAAATTCTCAGGTGTTATAAAAGGACGGAGGGAAAGGAAAAACCATAAAAATTCTGGAAGAAATTATGGATAAATTTATAATCATGGTGGGAAAAACCTGACTAAAGATGGTTATACGCCTAAAGAGAAAAGGTTAATAACTTTGAAAACATTAAAAAATTGATTTCTGAATGTAACAAAATACAATAAATAAAGTCAAAGGACAAATGACAAACTGGAAAATGTGTTTACCACGCATGTGCCAGACGGTGAACTACACTGTATTGATTAACAGAGAGCTGAAATCAATAATATGATTCTGACAGCACTCATAATTCTGCCCACCAATTATAATGTGTATGGGTTTTCCTCACACCACCAAGCAATTCTGTGACACCAGGTAAGTGTCCTACAAGTCAACCCAGTTCCGACACTGTCCCCAGATACAGTGTCAGGTCCCACAGATTAGGTCTCAGTCCCACAATACTGCCTTACTTCAGATGCCAGTCACGAGTCCAGGTGGCCACCTGTGCTTCTGACAGACGGGCTATAAATCAGAGGTTCTCACGGCCCCTTCCATGGGTTTAATTTACTAGATTGGCTCCCAGGGCTCAGGAAACTAGTTTATTCACTAGGTTACTAGTTTATTGTGAAAGGATATGATTCAGGAACAACCAGACAAAAGAGACGCAGAGGGCCAGGAGCACGGAGCTGCCGATGACTGCCGGGTGGGCCACAGTCACCACAAGAAACATTCACATCTGTTGAGAATTTTTATGAGTTTATTTGAGCTAAACTAACACTTTCTGGGAGGCAAAACCTCAACGAATTGAGAAAGTGCTCCAGAAAATGGCAGTTGTGCCCCCTGCTTCATGCATTACAATCAAGAGAAGTGGGTTACCTGAAATCCACTGGTGATAGATTAGGGAGGCAGGAGAACACAAAACGGGGGGACCTCTGCAAATGGAGGAAAAGTAAAATGATGGACACATCTTTTACTTTTTTTCCTAAAGATTTTATTTTTATTATTTTTTATTTTTTTAAATTTATCTTTATTGTTGAGAGTATTACAGGTGTCCCATTTTTTCCCCCAATTGACCCCTTCCACCTCACTCCCACCCCCTCCCCAGGCCTTCACCCCGTTATTGACTGTGTCCATGGGTTATGCATATATGCATATAACTTTGGTTAATCTCTTCCCAC